TATATATATATATATATATATATATATAGCGCGAGAGAGATCAACTCGCTATTGAATCATATGAATTATTAAATGTTATCCGAACGTACACGCTTATTTATATTATACGCATTTTTATCACTGTGAGAAATTTTATTGGATTCACTAGGTTGATCCACATTGACATTTTCTCCAGTATTATCCCTACAGAGGTTTTTATTGCGCGTTTGAGGGTCCGAAACTATATATTGCCACTGTGCAAATAAGTTTAATTTGCTCAGCAAATTAATTCCGTTAAGCGTAATGATGTTCTTGATGCCATCCTCCAGAGGAGTCTCTACGTGAGGAAGCAAACGCAACTCAGGGTTTGTGCAGTTATTTGATGTGTGGAGCTCAGGAGCTGTCGTTTGCATATCTCCCACCATATGGCGATTCGGATGAACTAAACCACGCGTCCCGGAGAGGTGAACTCGTGTAGTGGCCCCATCTCTATCCACAATCAACGCCGTGGATTCATCATAGCGCACCATAGCTACGGGGAACTGCTCAAGTTGAATGCGACCCCCCACCACCAGTGAATGATACCCTTCAGGACGGTTTTCATTAGTTGACGATAGTTGAAATAAAACAATCGCCTTCAGCTTTTCGTACGCCACAAGTACACCACCCGGTGAATCGCACGGGGGTCCTGGGCTATCGGGAGCTCCGAGGCCACAGGCCAAGTACACCACAGATAGTACGGCGCCTGTTTCCAGCCTGGTCCCATCAGAGGATTCAGGCCTACCTGTAGAAACTAGCTGAAAGGGCTCTTCGGGTGCATTCCGCGAAAGATCATTCCGGGCGACCCAGAAAAACACCTCCCCATCGCAGTTGCCGCTCACGTAGTAAGAAAAGGCCTTCGGCTCGGCAGTGTGGCTCGGCCTCACGGAGGCATCAGCAGCTTTTCTGGCTAAAAAGGGGATTTCCTCAACACATGTGATGACCGCCGCCTTCCCGCTTTGCGGCCAAAGGAATTGCTCAATATTGTAGACCTCTGGGTAGTGGCTGACTCGGCAATGATGATCTTTATCGCAGCTAAAAATACGGCGACGGTCACGCCCCCCACACTCCTCCAAGAACTTTCCACAAGGAGGAATAGGTGAGCATAGGTAAAGGGTCGAAATAAGGCTAAAATGCTGGAAAAGAAACATCGCAGGTGTTTTACCGTCGCCAGTCACCCCCTCAACCATCTGGGAAGAGGGATTCCAACTCAGCGGCAGACGATAAACCTCGCCAAACTTGTCAGCGAATATAATGCCACCATCGACATCGGTTATCATTGACAGGATGCGTTTGGTGTGTGGCCCATGGCGATAACAGGGGCGAATCTCATGGATTACCGATTTCACCAGCGAGAGTTGCAATGCCGCGGTGTTCTCCTCGCTATGGGCATTGGCAATATTTCTATGAGACGTGTCTGGGTTGCAGTGCACCAAAGAATCAAGATTGTAAACATTAATGTACTTGGCATCACCGGCGGTGACCACGCATAGAGGACCTCCAGAAAACTGAACAAAAGTAATCGCACGAATCATTTGGTTGTCGTCTATAATCACTGAATTTGGAAGGCCAGGCCCATCCATGCCGTTCATGAGGGAAAGACTCACCACAAGCTTGGAGCCGAACCCAAGCGCGACTGCTTTGCCGACAAGCGTCACCACGCTAAGGGATGGGTCGCCAGTGGATTCCATAATATATAAACTACAGTTTTTAGTTGTTGTTGTTGTTTTGCAAAGTAGAAGAATAGAAAGGTCGATCAAATGTAATTTAAAGAAAAGAATAAATAATATCTAAAATTTTCCATTACAATAATAAGAATAAGCAAGTGTACATAAGGTAAATCAATGAATGTAAAAGGTATAGAGACCAATCCATTTCTTGGTGTTTGTTTTACTGACCTTTTAGACTCAAGGAACGTTGCGTGTTCAACAGTTCACATATTTATTTATGGTCTTCTCTTTGTTCACAACTGGACTCATTTTTTTGGGTATGAATTATGTCTAAAAGGTTATGAATCAGTTCTTGATCCATGAGCTTATCTTCCACCTCTCGAAACTGCTGATGAAGCCGCGCAGCTTCCCGCTCATGTAGCTGCCTCTGAATACGGTCCACATACAATTGTGATGCCTTGCTTTGCGAACCCGACATCACATATCCCAGCTCCTTGGCGCGAGCAATCTGGTCCGGATTCTGACCTATTTCACCACGTCTCGGAGCGCGCTTATACTGGCTTAAAAATTCCTCCCTTGTCATCTGTGAAGGGTGCTTCTCTGGGGCTTTAGAGTTCTCTTTGGGTGCACTGAGGGCAGGATCTGTAGGCTTTGTGAATTGTGATGGTATACTCATAGGGGGAAGAGGAATCGTAAAGTCTTCGTCATCTGAAAATTTATCATCTAGATTGCACTCTGTTTTATTACTAGTACCAGTGTGAACACTATTGGAGTGCATTTTTGAATTTGAAATGCTTGAAGTTGCAGGGTCAATTAAATTTCCGCCGAATGTTACCACTTTATTTTGTATTTTTTCTGATTTCGACGGAGCAGATACAGAGAAACTATCGCATTCCTGCCGTTCTTTAGCTCTTGCTTGGGCAACTAAACGCGCTAGAGCACTTTTCGGGCCACTACCACCGCCAATTGTATTTGATTTCTCCACTTCCTCTTCCACTCTGGCTCTCTTAGCCAATGATTGACCATGCAGATTGGTCAATCCTTCCTGAAATGATACGGTTTCAGATTCAGGTAGGGCTGCTACCTCCTCTGATGAATAACAATTTATTTTCGCCTCATTTGTTTCCTCAAGCTTTACATCTTGTTCACTCGTACCGGTAATGGGGATTATCTTAAACGTCTCACTGTACCCAGTGTCACTGGCGTAGGAAGCACCCATAGATTTCGCTAAGTCCCTTAGGCTTTCTGTAAAACTCCGCCTTTTTTCATCCAACTTATCAAGCATCTGACGATGAAAGTTGTCAAGCTCAACATGGTTATAATGATATTGTCGTTTCTTCTCCTTATACTGTAATTTTTGGTGCAGGGCCTTAGTCTGCCAAAGAATACACCCAGCCGCACTGAACAGGTTTGCTTTGAGCGAGCTAGAAAGGACCTCATCCACATATTCACCCTTCAATGAATCAGAAGGAGCTAAGTTCATATTTTTTTCATCTTTTGAAATAAGAGTACTATTAAAAGACTCTGTGCAATCTTTAGAATTATTCATCCTTCTTGAAAGATCGTAAAAGTAAAAAAAAAAATGAGTAAATGAAAAATAAATAATAGGTCATAAAGACGGATTAAAATGCAGCATATTTTATATTCCTTCATTAATATGCTCATTTTTACCCTTGAAACATTGATATGAAAGCTCATTAACACCTTCATTATATTTCTGTATGAGTTACATTAAATATAGTAAATACTATGATAAATTTTAACCATAGAACCTTGATGGTGGTGAAAATAAATCACATATAAAAGACTGACACTAAGTAAGGTATCATCACATAATATTATAGCTACAGCATATTATGTAATGTTAATTGTGTGGCACAAATACAAGAAGTCTTTTCAATTGTATTTGGTGAAAAACAACAAAGTCATTGCCTACAGTGTAGACTAGACGCCTTTATTTGTTATTTTCTTGGTTTCCAAGCTTCAGTACTACTTTTGAGGAGTCAAGTGATTCATGAGGTTCAACAGGCTCGAGCCCAACCAAAAATGCTTCTCGAAGTGTATCGGACAGTTGCCATCCTTCTACGAGCTTAATAATCTCTTCTCGTGGAAGTAAAGGAACATTGTGTGTCTGAACAACTCGTATATTTGAAGTAGAACCGGACTGAGATGATTTGCTCGAGGTATTTTGAATTTTTCGCTTTCTCTTCCCTGAGCTACTCGAATTCACGGAAGTCTTATTAAATCCTTCATTGGGTAAGTATTTGCTCTTTGAATACGATCCTTGTGATTCCTTTTCCCCATCTTTCTTCTTATCATTGCTTATATCAGAATCATCACTTTTGGAGTGATAATTTGGTGCCACATTAGACACGTTTTTATTCAAAAAGTTATCGCTTGATACCTTTATATCAGTGTCATTAATCTTTTTACTGCTTTCGTTCTTATGTGCGCCGTTGTCGTTTATGTTGCCACTCTGATTGTCATTCGGTTCTTTTTTTTGCCTCTTGGCGCGGTTAACTTGCTGAATTACTAAACGCCCATCGATCATCACAAGTTCACCATCTTCCACCCATGTTGTGTTGCATTCTTGCCTTTTGACAACGTCGACGACGTTGGGGACCGAGAAGCCCTGTGGAGACTGCTCCGTCTGCGAAGCCTCTTTATCCCTCTCAGCTTCTTCATTTTCACGGGGTCCCTCATTTGCAGGTCGTGACGGTGTTAAGCCTGTGGTTAGGGGATCCTGCGCTAGGGCCTCCTGGGAGGTGGCCCATTCCGGCGCCAGGATGGTCCCCCCGTCGCGCACAACGACGGTCATACGATTCACGTGGGCCTCATCTGCCGCGGCTTGTTGCTGCAGTTCATCCCGACTTCGCGTGCGAAAGGGCAGGTAGTCATTCGGGCTATTCCACCCATCCGATCCCAGGTTTAACCTCCGCCATTGCTGCAGATCGGCGTCGTTAACTTCCGGCGCCCGCAGCATCTGCGTATCCCGTGAATCGGAGCCGAACAAGAGATCAATAAGGGAAAGACGTGAAGCGGGAAAAGTATCCGTTGAACCTAGACTCGTTGCCTCCGCTAACATAGGTTTCTGTGTTGATGAGGAAGGCTGATTTCGTCCTGTAGAATCGGGGACTTCAGTATTCTTCTGAGCTGTATGGAGCACTAACTTCCGTGAAGAACCAACTAATGGTGCGTTGGTGCAACTGGGCTTACATTCTACAGGTTCGTCTTTTTGAAATTGTCCATCGTCCGGTAGAGGCTCCAAGACGCGGGACAAGAGTTGATCAAGGAGCTGAAGGATATTATGCTTGTCACTGCTACCATCGGCTTCAGAAGGGCTAGATCCTAAAACACACTCGAGACTCTTTTGGAGAGGTGGAATTTTACCACTAAGCAAGGGCTCCATAAAAGTAGCTACAAAGGTTACTTGATCCTGTGGTATCTCGTTCCGCTGGGGGACAGAGGGGCCATTTGAATCTGCCTCATGTTTATTGTGATTTAATCGGGACAGATTTGAATAAAAATTCTCATGAACCTGTTTGGCGTGTTGACACATCTTTTGAAGATAAGAAACGGTCTGACGATTTTCATTTCTGAGAGATGTCAATCCAGACTCTAGGAAAAGGAAACATGATAGAACACGTGATGCAACATCCGGGCAGAGACTAGCACTGTGGAGAAGGTTCTGCGAACGATGGAACCATACTGCGTCTTCAACTGCCGTGTTGCTGTGTCGTCGATCACCCAAGGTATGTTGAAGAGTTTGGAAAATATTAATGGCAGACCAAGGTGGGGGAGCTTTGTTGATACCATCAGTCATTTAGGCTTAAAACCCTTTGCACCAGTGTGGGGATATACTTGATCAAAATAAAAAGACACACGTCCGTCCCCAATCCTTGCTCCACATGCAATGAGGCTTCGATTGTATTTGTTGCCTAGTAATTATTTACTATCACAAAAGTAAAATAAAAAAATAGGACAGAATAAAGTCAGACTAATAAAGCCATGAACATTAATTATCATGTTTATTTTATAGATAATGTGAGGGAAACATCTAGAGTTGACTATTTACAACTTTACCCGTAATAGGCATCAGGAAATTCTAAAACATTTTTTTCCGTTGATACTTTTTCCACTTTGTAGCTTTACACATGAGTAAATCAAGGATATTCCTACATACATCAGGAAAAAATAAATAAATAAAAACGAATTAAAAGGGATAATCAGATTCTTTATTTATACACTTCCCATCAGATCTTGAAGTTCTGAAGTGAGTTCTGGAAATTGGCTAGCAAGCTCCTCGATAATTCGGATCGTATTTTGCCTACCTTCTTCCAAACGCGACTCTTCTGCTTCTGTATCCTCAGGATAACAGGTAAGCTTGTATGAGCCCTTTTCAGCTTCGCGAAGCCGTTGGAAAGTGTTTTGCTTGAGTTCCTTTTCATCATCTATATGCTCTTTTTCTTTTTGGATGGAAGCCAGCTGTCTTCGATATGCCTCTATCTGTCCATCAAGTTCTTCAATCTCACGTTTAGTATGGTCGACCTCCGACACCGTTTTTTCCATATCAGCTAAGATTTCTTTTACCTGTTTTTCTTTAGCCTGAGACTCCTGACGTTTTCCATTCAACTCTTTGAATAACTGTGTATTTTCTTTTTGAACTCCAAGGCGTGTTACACCGCGCTTTTGGGCGTGAACAGCATTTAAAACGCCTTTTCCCTTCATACGAATGATCTCTCGATGATCAATAAGTTTTTGCATTTCCGTAATCAGAAACTTCTGTTCCCGTTGAAGTTGTGAGAGGCGCTCCTCCATAAAAGCAATCTCTTTTTTCATCTTTTCAACCTCCGCTCGTCCAATTGAAGGATCAAGAGCCATTTCAGTTTCACGTGCTATTTGAAGTTTTCTATCCCAGAATAAGATATCGCGTTCACAGTCCAGTATTTGTTGAAGAATATCAGACTTAGCCTGTCGAGCTGCGTCAACTTTCCACTCAAGCTGAATAGCTTCGCGTTTCTTATCCTCTAGACGCTTCAGAAGTTCGTTCTCTAAAAGAAATGCTTCATTGGTAGTATTCTTCGTGGTTTCAACATTTTTAACTAGCAAAGTATTGATTCGTTTCATTTCGACATGCATGGATTCTGATTTGCTAGATAACGACGCAATCTCCTGTTTTTTTAGCTGAATAGCAGAGGCTAGCCGATCTCTTTTCTGTGCTAAAATTGTACTCTTGGCTTGGTAATCAAGAATAGCTTCATTGATTTCATTCATTGTGATGTTGTAATCAACTAGTTCAGTTTGTAATTTGATCCACTCTTGTTGAAGCACCTCATTCTCCTTCGACCTTTCTGAAATAGCCCTCGAAAGACTATTAATAGTAGCTTCAAGGGGTCCAATGTGTTCATCGCTCTCACCATTGTGAGCACTCATAATTTGTTCGTAGTGCTGATTGAGCTGGTCCAGCCTCTTTTGCTTTCTGTCGATGTCGTCATTGCGGCGTCGAATGTCTTGCTGCATCTTTTCGATAAGTGCGCCACGTGTCTGCAACTCAGTTTCAAGACCGTCCAGAGTTTCTTGGAGAGTTTCATTGTACGCAGTAGCCTGCAAGTAATCCACTCTGATTCGAGCAAGCTCATTTTCCATATTTGTGATTTGAACTTCTTTTGTGTTGATAGTCTCCTTTATCTTTTCTATCTCTCTCAAAACGTCTTGGCTTCCCTTTTTCAATGATGTTTGTTCAGTGAGGTATTTCAGAACTTCACTCTCCATCGACTTCACCGCGTTGTCATGCTTCAGGATGTGCTTGTTCAATTCATTGACTTCCTTAGACTTGCCTTTGAGCTGCTGTTCTAGCACCTTGATCTCAGCTTCGGTTTGCTCTACACTTGATTTAAGAAGAGAGTAGCTTTCAGAAGCTTTGTCCCTCTTCTCGTACAGAATATCCATTTGCTTCTCCAGCACAATTATTTCATTTTCCACTCGTGATGCAAATTCATTCAATTTCGCATTTTCTGTTTGTTCTGTATTAATATCGTGTCGATAACGTGTGATTTCGTTTTCAAGAGTCTGTAAGGTTTCCTTTTGCGTATGAAGAGCTTCTTCTGTCTTTTTCATGGCATCATGCCGGCGTTGAATACCGATTAGTGAACTTTTCCATTGTTGTGCAAGGTGCTTCTTTTCGACATTTATCGCTTCAATCTCGCCCATCGCTTCAGCAAGTATATCTCGGGCAGCCTGTGTCTCCTTTTGTTGAGTTTCAATTTGTTCACTTAGAGAGGCAGACTGCTCTTCGAACGATTGAATACGCTCTTCCAGTGACCGAACGAGAGCATCTTGGCGCAACTTTGCTTTCTCTAAAGCAACTACATCATCCTCAGTCTTATGAGCAGCTCGTCGCTCAAGCTCTGTTTCATCTTTCAAATGCTCATTAAATTGCTCCACTTTAAGGACGGTCTCACTTAACTTAGAAAGTTCACCCTGAAACTTGGTATATTGCTTTTGCATATCGTCAGTCTTTTGCTGGGCTTCTTCGGTAATATTCGACAATTTGTCACGCTCCATAAGCTTTTCCCCATACTCTGCTTGAATAGCTGAGTGACTTTCATTATACGATTCTAAAGTCTCTTGGAGCCGAGCAAGCTGTTGCTGGGCGTTGTATAGATTCGCGCCACAGGTCTCACGCTCCATATGAACTGCTTTAAATTCATTGTTCGCTTCATTAAGCTGTTGATTAACTTCCTGTAAGTGTTTCTTCAACTGTTCCTCAATCCTCTTTTGAACTGGTGCTAGGATTTCCGACTCTGGGCTGATCTCGGATATATCGCTGACACTGTCGTATTCATCTTCGCTGGGGTCTGACATCACGTTAATCCTTCTATTCAATATAGCTAAGAGAAAAAAAAAGCTCAAGTGGCTTATCTGGATCGAATAAATGATGTTTAGGTGACTTCATAACTAATAAATAACAAAAGCACACAATCATATAATATTATGAAATACGTTTTAAGCATATGGGTATATGAAAAAGATACCCAATCATATACGCACACAAAAGGAATTTCAAGGGTCTGACACATGAGATTTCTCTGCAAGTCTCTTTTCTTCATTGATGGCCCATTGTGGTAATTGGTTAATTTTATCATAATCAGGAACAGGAGCCTGGTCAATTCCATTTTGGTGTGGACGATACTTTTCAGGAAGCTCTGGGATCACTCGGTAACTAAAATCTTTCGTTTTGAATTGCCTATAATAAAGCCATTCTTCTTTCGTATCAAAGCGTTCAGGTGGTGTCCCGTTTTGGAATGCAAGTACTGCCGATCTGATAGCTTTTCTAGTTAGGGTGGGTACACCTCTTACGCGCAACTGTCGCTTATTACATGTCATAAGATCATTCCAATCTTTGAAAGTTGATTTGAACTCACTTGTTGGCTTCAGTCTGTGGATATCACACTTTTCTAGAAAGACATTATGGTTTGGCACATATGACGTTGGTGGTCTAATTGCAATTGGCAAAACTTCATTGCGGTGAGTCGATTCGATAGGGGCCAGTTTTCGAGGATCTGGCATGTAAGTATATTTGTAGGATTTATGAGGGCCATATGTATTATCTAAAAAGAGTCGTGTCGAACGCATTTTTATTTTCTATGTCCACAATTTTAAAAAGAGACACCACAAGGATCATTGGTTTCATGTTAGATATATACAACTCAGAAATGAACGTCTAAAATTATACAGGTAGAATAAATGTAGAAACTATCCATGTTATAATGTCACTTCCGTATTAGCATATAAGATTTAATTTTTATAGGTTGTGTTAACTTTCTAAGTAAATCCTTATAAAGTTATTTATAATTACATTCCAAGGAAATTAGCAATATTTCCAGGAATTAGTGCGGTTCCACTGCTCACAGAAACGATGTTATTATGTATCAGGCTCCCATTAACATGTTGAATACATTCCTGAACAGATTCAGGGTTGTCATAACATACCATCGTCATTAAGTCGAGTCGGTTTATATCGAGAATTCGCCCATAGGGCGAAAAAATATCCAGTAATTGGTCATTTGTTGTCCCAAATGGAACGTTATCAACGAATGCAACATTAGCTTCTAAGGGAGGCAAAGATTGATGCTGAAGATTTTCAGATGATTGTCTATTTGCATAATGCTCATTTTGTTGACCTCTTCTAAAACCACGGCCACGCCCTCGTCGCGAATTGTCAGGAGCAACATGTGAATTCCCTTTTCTCGGAGGATGCTCACTTTGTTTATTTTGGTTTAATGCTCGAGCTTTTTGACGTGAATTTTCCTTTGATTGTGTCTTCTGTTCCTGGGACCCATAATTTAAAAACTCTGAAGCAAGGTTTTTATGTCTTGGGTTGGTTGTGCTTCTACCGCCAGGTTGTTTCGTTTTCTGCTCCTCCAATATCAGCCCATTGATGGTTGCTAACTTTGAGGAAGTATCTTCAACTGAATATTCAGGTAAGAAGGTGATAAATACCGTTGTTATATCCTTTTTATTGTTCTGCTTTTTTCGAAAAGTTCCCACAGAATCCACTTCCTCCCATTTTAGTAACTCTGCCTCTACGGCAGGGAAATCTTCTGTGTGACAAGTCGCTTGAACTAGTCTACTTTCCATGATGATAACAATTTTATGCTTCGTATTATAAGATTAAAGTGTTAAAAAGAAAGGAATAATAAGTTAAATCAAAGACAATATATAATCCATACTAGAAGAAAGAACCAGTGCCCCAGGGGTAATTGCAAGTCAAGGAACCGATTAAAATTGGAATATAAGTTTTTATATAAAGCACCACTTGCATAACCAAAAACCAAAGACTTTATTCTATATACTAAAAACGAAGAAATGCAGTAAATAACCCCTTCTTGCTAAAGGAAGGAAAATGGCAAAATGAAATCATAAAAAAAAATGATACGCAACTTCCCCTCCCCTCCGCCCCAAACCATAAATTCCAGAACAAATCAGATTTTCTTTAAAATTTCGTTTCGTGACCTTGCCTCGTCCTTTTTTCTTTGCGTGTGATTCTCTACACGGCGCGGCGGAGCCATAATAATAGGAAAAGCGCCCTTTTTAATTGCGAGATATTATTTGGAGATGCATTTATATAATCTTTTCATGGAAAGGAGGCAACCCACCGCCCCCCTATATTTGAGCAAATTTAGGCAAACTTTTCATTTTGCTGCATTTTTTTCTTCGAATTATATATATATATGTATATGTTTCTGTCGGGGAAAAGATAAACATAAGTTCTGCCAATAAACCCTGCTAAAGTATTTCGCCTGGCGCCGTCTTGTATGATGTACTTAGGGTTTGGGTTTCCTTCAGAAAATTTAATTGAGAATTACATTTGCTTTTTTAATTAAAAAAAATTACAAATGAGGCATACGATTTCTTTGCTTAGGAACTAAATTTGTTTTATTGCTTAGAAATTCTTATGATAAATATAAGGATATGTTATACTATTCGATTACCATAAATATACACTTTTTTTTTGTTAATTAGTTTAGATTGAAAGGAAATATCATAAACAAAGGGTAGATGAATATCTCTCTATATATATTGTTCGTACTTCGATTATATGGACACGAAAGATATAAAATATCTA